TCTAAGAGTATTTAAAAGAAACTTGGCAACCCAGTACATTTTCTAGTGCAGAATCTAGTCCTTTCAGATTATTCATAGCTATCCTATTTTTTGAGTTATGAAGACGTTTATAGGTAAACATGTGGCGGTTTTCGGTGCGTTTTGAGACAATATATTTGTCATAGTTCGCCTATTTCTTGGAATATGTAAATGAAACTTGGCAGTCTAGTACATTTTTTAATGCAGAATCTAGTCATGCAGTCAGATTTTTAATATCTGTCATACTTTTTGAGTTGTAAAGACATTAACAGGTAAAAAAGTGGCGTTCTTTACAGATTTACAAAGATTATCAGTCATATGTTCTCCCAAAGTCCTGATATTTGAATGAAACTTGGCAACATAAAAGGTTCCTCCTTGCCAAGCAATGCTCTGGATCAATTTGTCACAAAAATGTAAATAGAGAGCTGGATTTATTAGTCTAATAAATCCAGTTCTCTACTAGTAAAAGCATACATACTTTGTTATAGAAAATAAGATCGTCTCTGTGTATATCCATTGTTGGACAGTGTCCTATTGTGTGGTAGATTAAGTTGCGTTCAGATAATATAGTTTACAAGTCATGGGAATATTTCGCATGTGTAGGCTACAACTCATAACAATAAATGTAACATATTTAGACCTCCCCCCCCTTCTCTCTCTCTCTCTCTCTCTCTCTCTCTCTCTCTCTCTCTCTCTCTCTCTCTCTCTCTCTCTCTCTCTCTCTCTCTCTCTCTCTCTCTCTCTCTCTCTCTCCCTCTCTCTCTCTCTCTCTCTCTCTCTCTCTCTCTCTCTCTCTCTCTCTCTCTCTCTTTCTCTCTCACGCGCGCGCACAAACACACACACGCATGCATGCGCGCGTGAACGATAACAATGTATAAACGGGACTATCTTCCCAGACTTGACTAAATAAGTACCATACTCTTTAATAACAGTCTTAATGCCTCACTTTTCCAAACAGAGCGCACAGGACGAGTCCAAGTGTGTGATTTCCCAAGAGGGGGGAAGAGGCTTTCATAACGCAAACACAATGCCATACTAGTTCTCAAGATGTTTGCTTTTCTATTTCTATTCTTCTGTCATGCAATCAAGCAAATAAAAATGACTACATCTATTGTATTGTGACTAAAATGCAACACAAACGCAAGTTATCAGGGCCCCCGTTTAGTTTTCATGTATCCTTCCCCCCCTTTCCGGTTCACATAAGCGGGGCCTCGTTTGTAGCGCCCAAGGCGACCGATGGCTGATGACGTCACTCAGTGGAAATTTCCCAGCCGCAGGTCGTTCGCAAATGGCAATGCCGCTTTTTCCCTTAGTTACTCCCACATTTTTAAAGATTACGCAAAAACCGCTAAACACAGAAGCTTGAAATTTTAAGGGAATAAAGAAAAATGGTGTACAACGTATCAGTCAGTTTTACAAATCACAGCTCCGAAAAATCTTCAAAGCGCACCACATCAACCACTTTCGCAAACGTTTTCGACTGCTTCTAGGATGGGTACAATGTTGTCAAACTGCATACTACTAGATTGACCTCTTTTCTGATTGGCTGCCAAGTTTCATTCATATCCATTCACGAGAAGCGGCGTGAGAGCGAGTTGAAGACAACAACCTTTGCGTTAGTGCGTCCCGTGAAACACCCCCGCTGCGGGGGCCAAAAATCGGCAGAACAAAACGCGCTCGGTGGGCATTGCTATATTTGCTATATTATAGTGTTTCCTTCATAAAAATTCTTAGTGCTTGACTGTATGTATTCTCCATGGACGAAGATGTCAAGATGTTGTAATTTGTTCAAATTTATAATTGTAAAGGCCCACCAGAATTTTTATCAAGTTGTTTTATTTTGAGAATGAGTTGTAATATGAAAGGAAATTAGATGTTTTCCATGACCAGAAGAAAGTGTTCACTTTGTCCGAGGTTCAGTTTAACCATTTTGATAGGGTGGAGGCTTTAAAACAGTAGCTACACCCAGTGGTGGGTCTAGGGTTGGGGTGGGGTGGGGTGGGGGGACAACACAGCGGGCAAGCTTAGACTAGAGTTCATTCTTTCTGATTGTCGTAGTCAACGCCGAGCAGCCAATGTCTGAGACAAAGAATTCTATTTTCACAGTATGCAGTTGGTCCGCTCTTCGCTTTCACTCATTTTGGGCGTTCACTTTATCTGATTAACATATGAAACCAGTTAATTTGGTCCACTTTTTAAAAAAACTTAAAAACCCTATCTGTACGTGGTGTTTTACTATCGTATCCGTACGGCATGTGGAACTCTGTGCCACCTCTCCCAAAGAGGAAATTTACTGATTAATCTGATTCATACGCTTTGTATAGCAGTCTTTCAAAATAAATTTTTGAGAAATACTGAAAGTTTCAAAGAGATCTTCGTTCTAGAAGTTTTCTAAAATGTGAAGAATACAACTCCAGGGGTACAAAATGACCCCAGGGCATATGGATAGGGTTAAACAAAAAGTGTTTCAATCAGGGACCACAGAATATAGTTCGCTTTAACCAATTGTTCAAATAATGCGTGTTCACTTTAGGCAGACTCCACTGTATTTAAATCTATACTACGTGGTTCTAATTAAATCATCTACAATGGGCTCCTCCTATAACAGTCATGGTTTTAACAGGATTCCGGCTATAGCAGGCTCATAAATCCCAGAGTCTGTTCTCTCTCAAGCATAATTCATGTAGTAAAAAGCTCTTAGAACCCCATCGGCGTCCAGCGGACATATTAGTGACAACTGTTTTGTTTTATTTAGTGCTAGTTTTTGCTTGTTTTTCGGAACTGTTCCCAAAACAAGTTTCTTTTAGAAATGACTAAGCCTTTGTTTCTGCCTTATTTAGAAGTTGGGAGGCTAGCTTTTTGGGTTATAATGAGACTATGAGACATAGTGCGCCAGGTTTAGGTGACTGTAGAAAAACTCTGGGAAACGGTGGAAATAACCCAGGGTTTAAAGAGTTGATAGCAAGCATCGGACAGACACTCTTGGTTATAACTTATAACAGTGGTCCAACCATCGACGGAATTTTGAAGCAAATGAACACAAATTCAGGAAAAAGCAAACATGAGGCAAAACAATAGCCAACATCTGTGAATTGGATTTGCACAAACCTTATTAGGCCTAAGGTGGTTGTTTATTTCATGTGTCAAACTGTACCAATAATAAAAAGTGAACACTGGCCACTAAATCTACCATAGATCTATGTCACGTGTACTCCTTTTCCCAACCATGATCACTATCGGTTTCAAATATAAAATTATTGTTGTAAAGCTCACAGAATGTGCTGGGGGCTCTGTAGAACATGGATGTATGTTATGTAAATGCACTGGGTTGGCTTTTATTACCTATGCATCTTAAATCATGACTAGTCAACCTCCATGAGACTAAGATATCGGTACTAGAAAAAAGGAAGAAAACGTAGCGAGAAGACTATTATTTTTTATTGGAGTAATTAATAAAACTGGAAGTGGGTAGTCTTTATGAAAAAAAACAACCATTCATTAATCATAAGTCACTGTGTATTATACTTGATACCTGTTGGTAAAAGGATAAAGCTATAACAGGGATATCTCTTCAGTCTAGGCAGTCCTGTTATAGCCATGGCCTACTGTATGGTCGCTTTTAAGCACAAGTGGGCTATCCTGAAAAATGCTGTTTTGAGAACATCGAAGGTAAAGTTTTTGCCCTGTTTTCAGTTTCTTTGAAAGTCCAGGAGAGTTTTCTCTATAACCAAACAAATATACACACCAATGAAATCAAAACTTCTCCTACAGGTAGGGTAGGGCAATGCCCACTTTTGGTGTAGGTCAAGATTTCTGGAAACCCCTGAAATCTGGGTTAGCCCACTTGTCCTTGAAAGCGACCATTTGTTTCCCCTCCTATGTCTAGGCAGAAAAACCCATACCGATGTCTAGTATGAGTTTCACCAACACGCGCAGGTACAAGAGCATACATGCCTGCACATACATAAAAAAAAGATTGTGTTTTAGCTTGTTAACTTTCGCCTGTTGGCATTAAAAAAATTCTAGCTCATGTATTAATTTACCTGTATTATACCCATAAAACATTATGCATCATGGTTCTGCAGACTAGTGACCAAACCAAAATATTTTTTAAAATTTTGATCCGATAATAAAAGTTTTTCTCTTTGGGCCCTTTATGAAAAACGACTCTTTGGATGCATACACAGGATCACTAAAATAAATGGCTTACAGTAATCTTGGCTGCAAATTGTTCATTTTGAGACAGTGACACTGTTGTGCCCCCACACTTTAGTGTTTATTAGCTAAATTCATTCCCCTAACTGTCTAGACGTCTGTCTCCACGCGAGTCTCGAAAATCACTCACACCTTCACTTGAATCGTGTTTCTTAAACATAATACATTAATGTGTGATGTTGAGGAAAATGTCAACTTTTTAATGTTTTAGGTGGATACTAAACTGTAAATCCCCTATTATTTTCATGGGCCTGCTTCATAGAAAACTTGTCGGAACCTTAGTTTGCAGTGACCTTTATTAATGGGCTTTTAGAACCTGTTGGTCATCTAATTTTTTTACCCATAGCCTAAGATCGAAGAAGATTAAACAGGGTAGTTTCATTTTGCTTTGTTTTAACCACAGTCAGATGAAAGTGAAGTTGCTGATTTGTATTTATGTTTATTAAGATACTAGATGTATACATGTACATATGTGAAGTTTTATGTTGGGAGGCTTCTTGTTCAAAATTTAAAAAATTATCACTCTCAACATTCACATTGCAATGAAAGCTGTTTTCCCCTGCTCTTTATTCCTTTTAATGTATGTTCAGGTGACAGAAGGGAGTAAACTGCTTGAAAGTTTACCTTGGGTGCGTTAGAATTGGAACAGATAGATTTATCTACCTTGAATGGCTCTTATTTTTTTAATTAAAGAAAACGATTATAATGGCTTTGATTTCTACTTACCACGAAGGTTAATGGTTTAACGTTTCATTTTTCTTTCACAGGTCGAGGAGTAGAGATTTCACAGTCACATCCAAAATGGCTATGAAGAGAATCTCAAAAGTAAGTTGCTGCAGTACCTACTATGTTTTTCTTTTCTTAGGAAATGTTTAATGTGTATTGTTTTAAGGGAGATGTCGTAAGGTCAGCCATGTTGGGGGCTGGGTTTCCACTCAACGGGGGAAAGCGCGGAATTTCATTTTCAGATCTCCGTTTCATGAAAATGGATGAAAACGAAAATACGCAGCACAGAAAACTGGGAAATCAAAGGGCTGCAATTAATTATGAATTTTGTGGAGTCATTAAGGTTTACTAACCCTTTTAAAAGATTTTAATCTTTCAAAAATGTTAATATCCCACCTTTGATTCCTGTTTTTAAAAAATTATTTTGCCGTTTGGCTCTCCCAACCCATCCCCACCTTCCCGGTGCCTGCGGTAGCGCCAGATCTCAACGTGCAGCTAATGTTAACTTCTTATGGTGCAGCTAAAGTTAACAACTTCTGTGCAGTGAGTCTTAATAGTCGCTCAGTAACACTTTGCCCTTTGAAAAACATTTCACTAAGAGAAAGGCCAACATCAGTGTGTGACAAGGTGTAAAAAAATTCTTGCAGCTGTGTGCCCAGGCAAATGAGAGAATTAAGAGAAGAAAAAAATGTAAAAACAGGGAAAGGGGGATATTGTGTAGTGAGGTTTCTTGAATAATTAAGATCAAAGTCAAAGGCTTGTAACGGTCCTGTCACTTTCTTTTTTATTTTTTGCAACAGTCAAGCCAATTACCAATAAAGTAACCCCCTTCCCACCTTTGTTTATGTTACACTTATCCTACTATAACCCCTAGCACTAACACGTCAGGGAAAGTGGCAGTTCATGGCCATGGTACGATTTATATCTTGCATTTCTACTTCTTCGCTCTGTCACCTTTAAAAAATAATCACACTGAAAATGGTTATAAAACCTGCAGAAAATTTAGACCCCCCGGTGAGTGTGAACCCTGTGGTGGTATGTTTTTCTTCTTTGGTGAGGGGTAGGATTTTTTTCCCTTTCTTGTGGAGTGGTGGTAATGGTAATTAGCGGACAGACTATTTCATTACACTGTTATCTCCCCTGATGATGATTTTGTTCAACATGACCTAGGTCTAACTTGATCAAAAATCGAATCGGGTTTCTTTCTCTAGTGCTAGCAATGCTGACAGCTCAGCGTTTGCTATCAGAAAGAAAGGGCTCTAGGCTTTTAGAATAGTGTCTTTATAACAGACTTCTCGTTAAAAGTTGACTCCACTGTATTAATGTGCTTGGTAAAATTGGTTGAAGCTGTCAATGCTTTCATTTTTGTCATCATCTTTTTTTAGGTGGGATGCACCTGTATTAGTATTATCTAGCATCTGCATTTGTCGTGGCTGCTTGGCATTTTTTGGGCCGCGAATTTTTTTTCCTTTTTCCGATGAAAAACCACCGCTGGGAAGAAAAAATAATTTAAAAGCAACAACAACGAAAACGGGGAATAACTTTTTTGGAGATAAAAAAAAAAAAGAAACCGAAGCTCTTTACTTTTAGAAAGAAAGTTTATTTTCACTTTCCGCTTCACTTCATCTCTTTCTCACTTGTTGGCACCACGTTAATTTGTAATTTTCATATGAAGAATATAAGTAGGCTACTTTATATACAATTTATATTCCTGTTTCTCTTCAATGTTTCCCTCTTTGTTGTGTTTTAATTTGTTGGTGTGTTAATTTTTTTCTTCTCATCATTGTTCTATTTGTGGTTTTTCTAGTTTTTGTGTATATATAGCGTAATGTTCTTCCTACCTTTTAAAAAAAAATGTGTTATGTTAGAGCGTGTCTCGACCAAAACCGAATACTGACACTGGCAGGCCCCTTGTGTGATTCCATAATTTACATGTTATATTCTGTATTTTTTCTTGAATTATTCGCGTTTAGGGTTAAAACGGCCAGTCTATGGATGGGTTGGCACACGTCCTTATTTGCTAATTTTTGTGGTTGTGTATATATATATGCTGTTCTAATTTTGATTTTATTCTGTTGTGAAACCTTTATTTTTCACGTTTTTACACTCTCTGTGGCTACAAATGATATTCTGGATGCTTAAAACAGAGCACAAGAATTTCTTGAAAATGAATGGCAACTTTTGGGGGGAAAATGGCAATAAACACAATTGCTAGTATAAGTATTATGTCAATATATTTTAGCTGGAGAAACACCACACATACACACACACACAGGCATGCATGCACGCACGCACACACATGCTTTCTCTCTCTCTCCCTCCCTCTAGCTTTCTCTCTCCCTCCCTCTAGCTCTCACTCTCCCTCTCCCTCCCTACCTTTGTCTCTCTCACAAGGTCATAGAGTAGATATTCGCCATTTATTTATTTTTGGTCAGACTGAAAGATTAATCTTACTTTTCTTAACACACACTTCTACTTTTGATTTTCCACAGGAGTTAATGGACCTTCATAAAGACCCTCCTACTAACTGCTCAGCGGGACCTGTGGGAGAGGACATATTCCATTGGCAAGCGACTATTATAGGTCCAGAGGATAGCCCATATGCTGGTGGATGTTTCAACCTCACCATACATTTCCCTACAGACTATCCATTCAAGCCACCTAAAGTCTCTTTCTCTACAAAGATATATCATCCTAACATAAACAGCAATGGCAGCATCTGTTTGGACATTTTACGTGGCCAGTGGTCTCCAGCTCTCACTATTTCAAAGGTTCTCTTGTCAATCTGTTCGCTGTTAACAGATCCCAATCCGGATGACCCTTTAGTACCAGAGATTGCTCGCATCTATAAAACAGACGTTGGCAAGTACAATGAAACAGCTCGTGGCTGGACACAGCGCTTCGCCCAGTGATGTTAACCTTGTCGCCCCTGCCCCCTCCCTCACCCTTTTCCCCTCTCCCAACTCCTTCCACCCTGCTTTTCTCAAGGTTACAAAAAAAAAATGCTCTTGTGAACACATTAATAAAAGGAAAATAGCATAGTTTAAGATGAGGAGAAACTCTTGTAAATGCTGGTACAGTAGTCTACCAAGCATTCATTTGTCAATATTTCATTGCGCTACAGTTATTCTACTTCTGGTCTGTTTGGTTATATTATAACTTTTTGAAAAACCCCTTGACTGCTTACCGTATGTGCACCCCGCATGCTAAGGAAAATTCTACTGTGTGCAAGATGTCACTTGTCACAATCTTGAATCAAGGGTTGTTCACCTTCTATTATAAGATACAGATTGGTAAAACTTATCCAATAGAAAGATAAATGATGAGATGAATTTATCCTTTAACAAGACCTGCAGAGAACGAGCCATAATGATGTAAACAACTTGAAAGCACTTAGACTGGACAAGCTCTCCGATTCTACACGTTGGCACCGTCTTGTATGGTGTGTGTGAGAAAGACAAAACAAATCTCAGGCCACCCGTCAAATTGTATATATATCTATAGACAGAAAAATAGAGAGATGGTTTTATCCACAGACAAGACTCTGGTGGAGCAAGACATAACAATAAAAACAAGTATAAAATGATGGGACTGAACAAGCGTTCCGAGTCTATGTGTCAGCTCCAACACTATGTATGTTTAAAAAAATGACGCATTTCACTTTGTTTTCGGTTAGAACCCGAGATTCCTGTCCAATAATCAATATGGCCTCATAGCTAAAATGATAAGCTTTCCTTCAAGGGATGTCCTTCTCTTTGTTCAAAACTGAATAGAATCTGAAATATCATTGAAACGAAACACAAGGTTTAATGGCTGTATAAGATGAATACGTTTCTGTGCACTGGGTGGTAGATTATTGGGACGTATGAAGTGCGTTTACAGCGCAGTCAAGGGGTTAATGAGAAAAAAATTAAGCTAGAGTGTAACAGTTTGCACATTTTGCTTGTGCAAGCTATGCAACAAGAGCAAAAATGCTTTTGATGTCACATGATATAATGCGTCTTACTTTCCTCTTTAGCACCATCACCAATGATTGGGGTTTTGATGTTGGTGGTAAGTTTGAACAACTTGCTACTTCACTTTGCCAGGGATTCTTCTGTGTGTATGTGATGAGTAGCAATTGGAGCTCATGTTCATCATATTTTGGAGATTTCCATTCTGTGTTGGCAAGATAACTATGCTTTGTTTTAGATTTACCACATTGAATCGGAAAGATGAGAACATGGCAAAAGTAATGCCAAGTCCAGGCTAGAGTTTCTCCCATTTTCATGCATGTCCATATGTTTAGCTGTTGTCTAACCCATATTTTATGTTACTCATTCTTTAAATGTTTTTGAGTACTTTTTCATTATTAACAAACTGAGCAATTTGTACCAAACTTTCAAATACCGGTAGTATTCAACAGGATATCTTTAGCCAAGGAAAATTTTTTGATTTTTTGAAGAGATAAGATCATGCAAAATGTGAGACAACTTTGTCTTGTCTGTAAAGACAAAACATGTTGCATTACTTAGCGGGCTTGCTGTGTCTACTTAGAGGCATTGGATGAAACTAGTAGCCTGGCTGTGTTAGCTTCATGCTCTGTCCTGTCTACATGTGTACTTTTTTCCTCATGATTATTTGTCAATGCCTCCTGCGTGTTTCGTCTTGAACAGAACTGATCAGTTGTTTCTCATGTCGATGGTTGAAATTCAGTTTTAACTTTCTTGCGGATATAGGTATTTACAGTAATGTGTGATGTGTGATGCTTTCAAATTGGAGAAAATGAGCTTGGGGGGAAAATGTTCAAAGATGCCTGCATAAGCAGAGTATTCCTTTTGCCTTGTATTCGTTGTTATTAAATAATGCCTTCTGTTTTTCTTTCCATGTTTTTTCGTTTATATATGTTTGGGTTTGTTTTGTTTTTTATCTTAGCTTGTTCAGTAATGTATGTGTTATGTACTTCTGTTACTGGCCTAGACAATCCTAGGTCGGCCTGCCTCAAAATCTGAATATGAGTGAGATTAGAACTGAAGATTATGTCTTTGAATATTTTTAGATTGGTTTGTGAAGTGAGAGAGGCAAGTGCCGAAAGACTGACTGTCTAATCATGGTCTTGCTGTCTCATAATTTACAGGATGTTGAATTTGAAAAAATCTTATGTTGCAATTCCATGCAATGTACTGAGGTCTTTGCCTTTGAATTTGAACATGATCTGAGTACATTGATTGTATTCGTAAAAATTTCCATGAAAGAGGGCCCCATGTGTTGTTTTCTTCTCTTCTTTTAGTCATGTTTCTTTTCTTTTTGTTTCTGCTATCCTGTTTTTCCTTTGTCATCCATGTCCTTAAATTTACAGAAATGAGCTAGGGCTTCTCTGAATGAGTGCAAGAGGATAAAAGTGTGTGCCTGAATAGTATGAAATGTGTTCTATGTTGAAGTCCGCTTCAGATAATTGTGAGGATAAATAAACTTCAAACCTGTAAATGATTCGTGACTAAAAGCAGAGTTGTTTTGTTCGTTGTTTGTTTAGTTGGGCTCCAAAATACTTGGTGGGTGGTTGGCGGATGCTTTGGTGTAGTTCTCTTCTATCAGTCAACTGTCTTCCGTACAAGGTTGGACTGGGGAGGGCTAAACTGTTTGGAGGTAAACGTATTATATAAGGCCCCTCCCCCCATGGGTACAGTGGTTTCATTGTGTTGTGATGACTCCACTTGCCCGAGGACGGTGAGTCTTCTGGCAGGTCAACCCACAAACCGTGGTACTTATCATTCTGGATCAAAAGATGCGGTTAAAAAAACTAAGGTACTACATGTACGGCACTGCGATATTCTTGTCTCGGACTCGGATAGGACTGTCCTCCTGTCCCACCTTTGATTTTTTGCGTGTCAAAACAGATCTATATCGCACTAGGACAGGACTGATCTGGTGCAATAGGTGGCTTCTTTGTTACTCAAGGTGGAGTTAAAAATGCATTTCACCCAAAAAAAACTTCCTTAATTAAATATTGCCCAAATAAAAAAGAAATACAGTAGTCTCCGCCTAAGATCCCACCGCTTACGGTCCCGGTTCGCTAAAGATCCCGCTGTTTAAAGAAAACAAAATTTTTACTATACAAAAGTCACCTCTAAGATCCCGCTCTGATTCACTCTGAAGGTCTACATTCAGCTAAGATCCCGCATTTCAGATCATAATTTGCGGAACAAAAACCCGGGCCGAACAGCCGATCAAACAAGAGTGAAAAGTTGAGATCGTCCGTCGCGTCAAAGATCAGCCACTATCGTGAATGTGATCACATACACGTTGTAAAACTCGATGAAGCAGTACAATGTTTGCCCCAGACCGGGGTGTGAACTGACCGACACCTTTGTTTTCCCCACGCATCGCACTCACACCTGAGCTCTCCCCCTAAACTTACATCACTCGTTGGGTGGGTAGGGCCTACAAGTTCGCTCCAGGCGGGATCACATTGAAGTGTGAACGCTTCCCCGACCATTGCAGAAGTTGTCTCTACTCCCGAATTTGCGAGACAGACTGAATTTTAATTGGTGTGTTCACAACGTAATGGCGTGTAACGACAAAGGCGGTTGGGGGGGGGGGGGCTCGGTCAGAGATGGAAAGCTATAAATTTTCGACAGGTAAGGGGGAGGGGCAACTGGATACGCGTAGATCTTGAGACTCATAGGATTAAAAGTGAAAACGGCACGCCTCATCCCACTGTGCACTGTGATAGTTCACCAAGGTTAACCTCTCTTTGCTCGCCATACGTCATAAACCCACCAAGCGGTCATGTCAGTTCATTTAAGAGTAGAGGGAGACCATTGTACCTATTGTGAGCCTTAGCATGGGTCACCATAGATTCTTCCCTGGGTTCGTCGGTTAAGATCCCGGTTCGCCTAAGATCCCGCATTTCCTTTCTCCCGAGCACCGGGATCTTAGGCGGAGACTACTGTAATACGATTTTCGTGATCAGAGACCCAAACTGAGCAAAAATCACACGAGAAACGCAATTTAATTCTCGATTACGAAGTTAAATTATACTTTTTGTATGCGTGTGTGTTTCACCATTCGGCCGGAACTAGGCCTAGATTTAGATTGCATTTTGCATCTCGTCTATTATGTCTCGATTGCAATAGCCGACATAAGCCTTGTTGTACCAACATGGTTTACTTTCCACTGCACAAATAAAGCGAGTTTTCTATCCAATTTAGATCAACATCAATTTTGATGAGAATAGAATGTTTAGAAACAACTGAGCGACTGCTGCTGACAATAAAGTTGAGAATCGAGATGGAAAACACCACCATAAGGGCCTACAGCACCGTGTTGTGTGTAGAAGCTTTGACCAGAGGTCTCTACTTTGACTTTCCTGCTGATGTGCAATGCACCGCGTGACCTTGATACACAACTTCACCCTTGACAATTAATTAATTTAAAAATATAATTATTTGCTAAAATTTACATTGTATTGCATCAAATCAGATTCCCAGCGAGCCATTTTCCCTTACTTTGAGACGCTGATTCCGAAATGAATTCAGTTTTGATATGTGATAAATTATTTTTAAAAATTTGTGCCCCAAGTTTAATCCTTCGTGAAGGCAAATTTTAAAGTGATTATATGTCACAACGCGCAAGCTCCAGGATCTTGACATCAGGTGCCACCAAGTCTGGGGCAGTTTTGTCCTAATGCTGTCAGTGGCTATTATTTCTCTATAATCACAGACGATATATTTACCCCGGGACTGGGATAGTCCTGTCCCACCGATTTTGTACAATTCACAACTGCTCGGGACTCAAATCGACAAGAATTTCCTGTCCCAGTCCCAGTAGGTGCGGTACATTACGCTCTAATTCAAAGGTTTCAATCTCCAGATGGGTCTGTCCCGGTACAAACTCGTGAGGTAGAGGCCTAACAATGAAAACCTCTGAATCCAAGTGACTTATAAAAATTTATTATAATGCTGAACAGGATACATTCTAGGCTATTAGTATATTAGGCCTACAACTCGATCCACTTAATTAATTAAGTGCACAAATATTAAGAAGAGATTGAAAATGCAGATATGCAAATATACAAAAGCACAACCTCCAAACCAGCAACATTTGTCAGTTTATTTTTGCCTTTGCCTACTCGTCTTGGCCCAGTAGTTTAGGGGATAATACTAACAGCTACTTACTATGACACCACGGATAATACTAACAGCTACTTACTATGACACCACCATAGTGAGACTTCATGCAAACTCAGGGTGACAAAATGTAAAGAAAGACGACTCTATTATTATTATGGAGCGGGAAAGAGGGAGCCTTCCTCACGACTCGACAGAGCAGAGAATGTAATGTAGGACTAACAGGATCTGAAGCTTCAAAATTGGACTAGAATGAGGTGTAACATGCTGGTGATTTGATTTGATGATTTGACCTAGTGATTCGAGGCTTGTGACTTGAACTACGGGCTTGCGAGCACGAGTGGGTTTGCTGCCGGGGTATGCCTACAGCTCTACTGTATAGCTGTCCCCGCGGTTTTATGCCCCAAAAATTCTGAAAATACGCAAACTGAGCCCAAAAATGTGAAATTATTCGATTCTGTTAATATTAACTGTCCCCGTCGTTTTAGTTTTATGCAAGAAAAATTCGGAAATTAGGCAAAATGAGCCCAAAAATGTGAAATTATGCGATTCTGTTAATTTTAACATAGAATGATAAAGGAAAATAATAGAAATTATGCAAAAAATGATCAAATTATGCGGGGTGCATAAAACCACGGGGACAGTTTTAACAAAGAATGATAAAGGAAAATAATAAGAAATTATGCCCCAAAAAAAGATCAAATTTTGCTTATGCGGGGTGCTTAAAACCGCGGGGACAGGTATAATACAAGTTATAACTTAGTAGTACCGGTAGTACAATGTATAATATTTATAAGGCAAGGGATCCAGTAATAAATTCAAGGGAAATAATAAAGCAGGCCTAATCTATGAGTTTGGTGTTCTGTTCATTTCTTTTTGTTATCTCCCCTGACGACCATTTTGTTCAACATGACCTCTTACACATGATCAAAAATCGATTCAGGTTTCTTTCTCTAGCGCTAGCGATGTTGATAGCTCGGAAATGAAAGGGTTCTAGGCTAAATCGCGCGCTGGGTTGTACCCCACACAAGGAGCTTAGAACTTTTAATCTCCTTGCCCCCACCCAGTGGCGGGGCGCCATTGGTGCAATTGCAATTGGTGCAAGCGCTCCACCTAACCCTGCCCCCCCCCCTTTTTCTAATAGTTCTAAACCAGTCAGTGCTCTAGATCTACATTAGGCCTAGCCCACTAAAATGCACATCTTTGCTATCCGTCACCCGCTGGCTGCGCCAGTGAAGAGACAGACGGCGAGGATTGTTTATGCTCGTCGCACCGCTTGCGATAGCGTTTGCTAGGAGCAAGCAAAATCTTTGCACCAAAGTTATTTATGTCACTCTAGAGAAATCTAGGCTACGTTCTTCCCGCACAAGAAGAAAGGTGCTTGAAACTGCTCTTCGCAGCCCCAATTTGGAGCAAGCTAAAAATTTGATCCAAGTTTCCGCGAGCCTATCTACAACACTAGTAGTCTACGGTAACACAGTGAAGAATGGGTATCGAAACTGTTGTCTCCCTCTATTGTGCAGCAAGTCCTAGAGCTGCACGAATTAATTAGAAATCTTTAAATCTTCTCTGATTCTGAGCATAATGAGTTGTTAGTATTGTTTCACTTTATTGCAGCTTTTAATATGCGGTTTCATCTAGAGACAGTTGCAAATATCGATAGATGTAGATTACGGAATATCCTGCAGATTCTAATTGACTTTCTCTAGAAATCTTAATAGTAGATATATCTACAAAGCCTATTGCCCATTTGCTCACTTTCCAATTATACACCACCTTGTCTGCAACTCACGCGACGCCACTGCCCCCACCCCACCCCACCCCATGGTACTTGTGGCAAGGGAAACTACCCATGAATAAATACAGATGGATTAGTCCATAAATGTTTACTTCCCTTGTATTTCTAATTTAACCGGGATCTGATATATAATGACAACAGGATTTTTTTCTCTGGTCCCACCATCCCCGTTATATCACTTTTCCACTGTACTAGCAAGCGGTCGGACATCGTGTTAAAGATTCTAGATATAATGTTTCACATGATCGTCGGTCGTGGCAAGCTGGAAAATAATAAACGGGGAGTGTGGAATGACTTATTCAATAAGGACCGGCGCAAAAAAACTCAAAATTAATAAACGGTGAGGGGGGCACTTATCGGATACCTTAGAGTACAGTACATGTTTTACGGGTCATCAGCACTGACAAGGTAACAACTACCAACACACGGCCCTACAGAAGCACTATGTTCCAAGCTTGTCGGTCACAGTAGATGAGCAACTACAGTTCCTTGGTGAGGCAGGCACCTTCCTTCCAAGCTTGACACATTACGACGCAGCCAAAGGTTAATCCCATCCGAGTTCCAGGACCCGAAGCTTACACTTGCAGGTACAGGCAAGGGGCAACCCAAGTTTCGTTTCCGAAAAGATGGGATACTCGTAAGCCTGTCCCCGCAGTTTTACGCAACAACAAAAATTATGAAATTATGCAAACTGAGCCCAAAAATATGAAATTATGCGATTCTGTTAATTTTTAACCAAGAATGATAAAGGAAAATAATCAGAAATGATGCAAAAAATGATCAAATTTTGTTACATTATGCGGGGTGCATAAAACCCCCGGGACAGGTAAGCAACAAATCAGGAGCAAAGAAAAATGTGATCGTAATGTCAAGCGTGCTCGGGAAACTGCTCAGCATATCTTAGCACGTAATGTTTCTGCTCTTGTCTGTCCCCGAAGGACCAGAATTAGTCAAATAACGATTGCCTGTTGCACTCGTCAAAACGTACCGAACATTTCAATTTGTATGAAGCATTGCATACGGGTCCCACCTTTCAAGTTGGCTTCTCCTGTCCCTTTGTGTCAATGTAGGACTTCCTTAAATTTTTAGGCGCTTCTGGATGTTTCGCTTCCGTTTATCAGTGTTCCTTTTCTGTTTTCTACCCCTTGGTCTCATGTTCTACCTCTGGTTCAACTCCTCTCTCCTGTGCTATCTCTGACACATCTCCACTCCCCTGTTCTACATGTGGCCCATCTCCTCTCGCCTGTCCTATCTTTGGCTGGCCCCCGAGGAAATCACATTCTTGCGTGCGCCCGCGTTTTTCGTCGAGTTTCACTATAAACCCGCAATTTTTTTCATTTTTCGCAATTTCTTGCAATTTTAGGCAAAAATACATCAACGCTTGAACTTTTAGTACTAAATGGTGCAAGTACACAGCCGATAGGCCTACATAAATTATGATTTCGGAAAAGCTCTAGCCTACTGGGCGCACTCGAAAAGCTTTATAACTCATAACTCATAACCGGGAATTCAGGCCGGAATACATTATGTACAACACAAACTGAGACATAGATCTAATGTGTGTAAGCGTGTGCGTGTGATAAGAAAGAAGCAGGTGTGTGCGTGTGTGTGGTGTGCATGTGTGTGCGCGTGTAAAGGTGTGTGTGTGTGTGTGTGTGTGTGTGTGTGTGTGTGTGTGTGTGTGTGTGCGTGTGTGTGTGGGCGCGCGCGAATATAATATTGTTCGTAGGCCCTACATGATGCATGTGTCTACTTACACGGGAACCGGGCACCTAGTTTCAGTATCTATGAACACGGTAACCGGAATGAAAAATAATTCAATATTTGTCCTGTGCTGTTACTTGTTGAAAAAAAAAAAAAAGAAAGTCATACATGTACAAGCGTCTTGTCGGGCTCACCATCGTGACCGGTCATTGAACCTGTGCTTTTGCATCAATTTGTGATCACCGGTTGGGGTCACCAAAGTTCATTCAAAATCCGTGCGCTGCGAAGTATAGGGCTCCGGAATGGGGGGATTCTTGATTTTTGAAAAAGGTACAGTCGGTAGAGGGCTGGGGTTGAAGGCAACATCGGACGACAAAAACAACTTGGAGTTCTGAACTGCCCAATTACCGTGTACATGACAGTGAGACTACACGCCCGGTTGCTGGTTACCGTGTACTTAGACACTGAGGCTAGGTGCCCGGTTAACGTGTACGTAGACACTCCGTTATGTAAAACGCCTTAAGCTGCGTTCACACTGGAGTAGGCGCTCTAGAAATGATCTACATTTATTATTACTATTCTTTATAAAAGGGGGGGGGGGGGGGGGGATGCTATATTTTACGATTTGACTTAAAGTGTTTAAACAATACCATACTGGTTTTCAAAAAGAAAATATCTGAAATAGATATAAATACAGATTACCGGTGTATCGAAGGTTTCAAGAGAAAAATAGAACAGGATCTGAATTGATTGGAACATATTGGCATGATTTCCTTGCCACGAAAAGTTAGACAAAGATAGCTAAATTTGAAAACAAAGTGCTGAAACATCATTTGAGGTATTGTCATCACGGTTTACTGCTTTCTGTTCGCCTATTCACATCTTTAGTTAAATTCGCTTTTGAAAAAATGTTAAGACCATACCACTGTAGGTTTAGTTAGAAGTTGTAACTAGATTTAAGTTTTGGCCAAAGTTGAAATAAATTTACATGTGTAATGTAGACATATTTAATGAGATAATTTCTCGATTATTTCGTTAGGTGAACATAGCCTACAATACAATACATTCAGGATTTGTTTTCATTCACATTGCCGCGGCTCGAGCAAGAAGTTTTGTTAATTTTGCTCCTCCTATTGTGATTGTGAGAAAGTTTTTCATGTGTGGCCTTATTTCAATCTGGTTCTTTGTCTCATTTTGTTTACCCTTTCAAACAAGTTGGCCTTCGCCTCTGCGTGTGTGTGTGTGTGTGTGTGTGTGTGTGTGTGTGTGTGTGTGTGTGTGTGTGTGTGTGTGCGCGTGCGTGCGCGTGCGTGCATGCGTGCGTGCGTGCGCGACGCGCGAGTGGGTAGTGTTTGAGGGTGTGCACGTGGAGCTGAGAGTGTGTTGAGCAAGATAGATGGATCCCACAATTTCGTTTAAAAAAGTATTTATTAGCATTAATAATAATGATAATAATAAATGACACGAAATTTATACATGTATAGCGCTCAACCCCGATTAAAGTACACAGGCTCAGAGCGCTTTACAATTCAGTACAATGTAGCACAGTAACATAAAACGTTGTGTTCTGACTAACTGTTCCCGTGGTTTTATGCATCCCGCATAATTTAGCAAAATTTGGTAATTTTTTGCATAATTTCTGATTATTTTCCTTTATCATTCTTTGTTAAAATTAACAAAATCGCGTAATTTCACATTTTTTAAAGCTAAGTTTGCATAATTTCATAATTTTTCTTGCATAAAACGACGGGGACAGGACTAAAAGAAAATCACTCCAATTATTATTCTTATTAATTTAAAAACAGAAACGACTTCAGCTGACATTTGAATGAATCAAAAGATTTGATCTCTCTTAAAGTACTTGGTAAAGCATTGCAGATCTTGGGGCCTTGGTCATGGTATTCAAATGCCCTTTCACCCATTGTTTTAAGTTCCATTGTTGATGAAATAAATTTCTTTTTGTTAGCTGATGACCTTAAACTGCGAGTTGAAATGTACAGTCTTAACAGATTTGATAAATATGATGGCGCATTATTATTCAAACATTTGTGACATTATGACATCATTATTTCCGGGGAAAGTGGGGAAGGATGGGGGGAGGGTGTTGGATGTTCAAACCACATTCCAGGCACAGATCAAGTTGTGCACGTGGCGTAGGTTGGTCAGTTGCGAGAAGGTCACCGACAGTCTCATCGTGTCCACACTCATGATGACGTCAGCGTGTGTGTCCGCGACTCGCAGTACGTGCACGAGTTGGTGTGACAGTTCGTTGTAGCCGTTAAAGACGCCCCCTCCGTAGAAGCGCTCGAAGATTCCTTTGACGCATTTGTTGGAAGAGACAAATACAATACAGTATACTTGAGAGAACACGAATGTAATGTTAGGTTCCAGTCCACTTGGCGGTCTATCGCAATGTTTCTGTATTACTTGACGTCTTTCACTGGACCAGTCTGGCAACTGTTCTACATGGTGATCTATCAGTCTACTACATCCAACAATACTAAATAATGTTTTCCCTCGGGTTTATTCAGGCTCGGAACTGCCATTGGTCTTAAAACATGTGGTTGAAGCTGATTTCTTGAAAGTAGTAAATCAGTGTGTGGGAGTGATAAAATAATACAATTATTATTACCCTGTACAGACCTTACGGTAGAACCCATTATCGATGAGGTGGACCTGAAGGTGGACCGTGGTCAGTCAGTCTGGACTTATGGTAAGCTGCATTATTGCGGTAGACCGTCTAGTGGACTGGCACTTCTTTTTCTAAATTGAAAAGTGTAGTCAGTAATTGCGCTTTATTGGAAATTTAGAATATTCTGACCATTTATACATCTTTTATTATAACGCCATAATGGCACACACATGACATACATTACCCCC